GGCTCATTTTTTCTATGTATTTTTAGTTGTCCAGCTCATTTTTTTCTATTTTCTTTAGTAGAGACGGGGTCTTGCTCTTGCTCAGGCTGGTTTCGAACTCCTGGCCTCAAGTGATCCTCCAGCCTCGGCCTCCCAGAGTGCTGGGATGACAGGCGTGAGCCACCGTGCCCGGCTCATTTTTTCTCTGTATATTTTTAGTTGTCCAGCTCATTTCTGTTTTTTTTTTTTAGTAGAGATGGAGTCTCGCTCTTGCCCAGGCTGGTCTCAGACTCCTGACCTCGAGTGATCCTCCTGCCTCAGCCTCCCTCCCAAGTAGCTGGGACTACAGGCATGCGCCACCTCGCCCAGCTCAGTTTTTTCTATATATTTTTAGTTGTCTAGCTCATTTCTTTCTATTTTTAGTAGAGATGGAGTCTCGCTCTTGCTCAGGCTGGTCTCAGACTCCTGACCTCGAGTGATCCTCCTGCCTCAGCCTCCCTTCTGAGTAGTAGCTGGGACAACAGGCATGCACCACCACGCCCAGCTCATTTCTTTCTATTTTTAGTAGAGACGGAGTCTCGCTCTTGCACAGGCTGGATTTGCCCTCCTTACCTCGAGCGAACCTCCTGCCTCGGCCTCCTCCCAGAGTAACTGGGACGACAGGTGTGAGCCTGCGTGCCCGGCCTAATTTTCTCTCTATATTTTCAGTTGTGTGGGTAATTTTTTTCTATCATTTTAGTAGAGACGGGGTCTCGCTCTTGCTCAGGCCGGCCTTGCACTCCTGACCTTGAGAGATCCTCCCGCCTCGGCCTCCCTCCTAGAGTAGCCGGGATGACAGGCGTGAGCCTCCGCGCCCAGCCTCTTGTTAGTTTGTCTTGTCTTCTCCCGTGATGGTGCCTTCTGCCGGGTCACCTCCCCGCTCTGGTGGCCGGTCGGTCTCTCATGTGACCTCTTTCTCCTTGGGGCTTGAGGCTGGCCTCCTCCTCCAGCCTCCCCCCTCCCCCCGTCCTGTCTCGGTCCCGATGTCCTCTGCTCAGAGCAGTTACTTTGGCTTGGGGAGGGGGTCACGACCCCCAGGGAACTCTGTGCCCCTCAGTGGCCTCCTTAGCCTCGACCCCTGCAAACACAACGGCGTTCGGAGGTGCGGACTGTGGGCTCGGGGGTGAGGCCCAGTCACTGGGAGGAGGCCGGGGTGGTGGGGACGAGGCGCTCTGAGCGCGGGGTGAGTCCAGACCTCGCTCCACGAGTGAATGTCCCCCCCGACTGCCACCATTCCCCCCCCAGGCTCGCTGGTCGGCCAGAGGCTCTCGGACCACCCGGACGTGAGGAAGGTCGGCTTCACCGGCTCCACGGGCGTGGGGAAGCACATCATGAAAAGGTGGGTGGCCGCCGGGCGCGGGCTCACGCCGGTCGTCCCGGCGCCCTGGGAGGAGGCCGAGGGGGGAGGATCGAGCTGGAGGTCAGGAGGTCGAGGCCGGCCTGAGCAAGAGCGAGACCCCCTGTCTCTATTAAAAAAAAATAGAAAGAAATGAGCTGGAAACTAAAAATATATATATATAGAAAGAATGAGCCAGGCGTGGAGGCGCATGCCTGTAGTCCCAGCTACTCGGGAGGCTGAGGCAGGAGGCTCACTCGAGGTCAGGAGGTCAAGGCCAGCCTGAGCAAGAGCGAGACCCCTGGTCTCTATTAAAAAAAAAAATAGAAAGAAATGAGCTGGACAACTAAAAATACATAGAAAAAAAATGAGCCGGGCGTGGAGGCGCACGCCTGTCGTCCCAGCTACTCGGGAGGGAGGCTGAGGTAGGAGGATCGCTGGAGGTCAGGAGGTTGAGGCCAGGCTGAGCAAGAGTGAGACCCCCATCTCTAGTAAAAAAAAAAAAAAATAGAAAGAAATGAGCTGGACAACTAAAAATATATAGAAAAAAAACGAGTTGAGCCGGGCGTGGGTGGCCAGCATGCTGTCGTCCCAGCTACTGGTGAGGAGGCGAGCAGGAGGAATCGCTTGAGCCAGGACGTCTGCGAAGAGAGAACTGCCTGTGAGCGGAGCTGACGCCCCGGCACTCCAGGCCGGTGACGACGCCGAGCCGAGACTCTGCCTCCAAACAAAGAAAATAAACAAAAATAGCTGACATGGCTGGAACATCTTTGGCACGAGCTGGAGGGGGGAGGCGGCCTCTCTCTGCAGGGAGGTCTGGCTCCGGGCGTCACCCCCCCCCCGGCCGTTTCCTTTCCAGCTGGCGCCCTGAGCAACGTGAAGAAGTGTCCCTGGAGCTGGCGCGCGGAAGTCGCCTATTTGAACATAGGCACGCTCGCAAATTATAGGAACATTGAGACCGTGCAGATGGTCAGGGAGTGGCTCATATAAATATAAACATGAGATCTTCTTATGCCGTGTGCAGCGAGAGAAAAACATTTACAGAATTTGGCCGGTTACTCTATTTTATTCTAATATTAA